GTTATGCCGTACTGCATGTGGGCAACGGAAAAGAAACTGAGACCCAAAACAATGCTGAAAATCTGAAGCTTACAGAAAAGGTGAAATGAGAATAAATGCCAACTGGAGAAAGCACTGTATTTCAACAGAAGTGCTGGGATGGCACCTTCTCACCTGCTGCTCTAGGGTCACATCTGCAGAGGCTATTACTTTAAAATTTTTTTATATATCATATATTTATTAAAATAAATATTATACACGTGTATATATATATAAGTGTGTGTATATATAAGAGCAGCTTTCAGGGTGGAGGTGACATGGAAAAAGCTGGCACACTTTTCTCTAGTATTTGCTGAGCTGCAGCCAAGCATTCATAAAAAGATTTCCAGCTAATGCCACAAGTCTGCATGACTCAGTACCTCAGAAATAAGAGGGGTGAAAACCTGTTACACCATCCTGTTCTCAGTATGCCCATTGCCTCTACACTCACAAAACCTCTCCCTCTACTCCAGGACTGCTTCGGTCCATTCATTTTCCCATCAGTTGTTCAATCTACTTTTAAGGGACCCTGAGAAGGCAGGCTGACGAACACATGCCTCTTGCAAAGTTTACAGTGGGAGGAAGGGAGCAGAAATTACCCTTTTCCTGAATTACACTTTGTTACTTGCAGCTGTATCATAGAGCTCAAAGGAACATCCTGGGCTACAGAGAAGCAACAGTGAGGAGAAACAAAGGAAAGAGGAAAACTGGATAACAAATGTGATCAGTAAGTGATGAAGGTGGGATGAAGGAGAGGGGGAAAGTGCAGAATTAGCATATGGTTGTATCACGTTTTCCTGTCATTACAGCATGACTCTGAAATCACCGAAAGCTTCAATCATCTCAAACCTCTGAACTCAGCGTCACCAAAAGTTACATGGCCGCAGCTGGGTAACTGAGGTACCAACCTCATCACCACAATGCAAATCCTAAACTGCTATTCATACTCCAACTCTTGATGGTACCTCCTGGCTAGAGCATCCATCGTCTACAGACTCCCTGGTTTGGCAGTGACTGACACACCATGCACGAACTTATCTTTGGGTCTCAAGAAAAAGCCAGAGAAATTGCTCCTAATCTTGCTGAATATTTTCTTTTATACTCTCTGACTATTTGGTGCCAATTCACAGAAATGATGTCAATTCCATTACAAGTAATTTGTATTATTCTGACCACGGTAAGCAGCGAAAAAGTTATTTTGAGGAGGCACTGCTTGCTCTGTCCCATGTAGTTGAACTTCAAGTCATCCCTTATGCTATACACCTTCCACTTTTCAGCAGAGGCTACAATGCAAGAAGCTTTTTCACTATGTCAATCAACTATTGACATAATGCCTTCCGTGCCAGCGTGAAACTGAAGAGTTCTTTGGTTTCTCCTCTCTGCACTGTGCAGTTGCGATGTAGCAGGACGCTCAGGGCAGGGAGGGTAATATAAAACATGACTTTAGAGCTGGGCAATCGAGGTTTGCGCAGCTACAGAAGCCAGGTAGCTGCTCAAGTCAAATCTGAACTCTCTTCTTTCTCACTGATGGACGCAGACCAGATCTGGTTCACAGCTAAGGGTTGAATAATACTACTTAGATGGAAAACGGAGTGAAATTTGAAGTTGGATTAAGCTTTCAAACTCCAGCGCCCTTAACATGCATACTCAGAAATAAAGTTATCAGTTGCCTTCAAATAACCAATAAAGCACCTAACATAGATAAGTGAACTTTCGAAATGGATAAAGTCAACAAGCAAACCAAACACTCCAGATGAATTGTACATGAACTGTACAGTCATACAGTCAAACAAATTAGAAAGACCAGCTTTTAATCTCTGTCAAGCTCAGGAAGTCGAAGCGGGCCAACTCAAACAGGAAGTTTGGCATGAACATGCTATTTCTGAGTTGTCTCCTCCCCTTAGCACCCCTCAGTATTCCAGCATCTCCAGTTACGATCACAGGTCTACGTCCACAGCAGCACAGATTCCATTGACAGCAGTAAACAGGGAGGGAAATGGTTTACGTAAGAGTAAAAAAAACGGAACGTAATATCATAGGAAACCAATATATGAAATGGAGGTAAAGGAAATGTAATAAGGCTGGACTGTATTCAAAGATATTTAAGTTAAATAAACTGACCTGTACTTACTGTAGATCACAGAAATCAGCACAATGATATTCAGCAGACTGTTATTCTCAGATATTTCACCAATCCACCTTCTTAAAGTTTCCTTTTTCAAAATATTTTTACATTCAAAAAAACACCCAAACAAGTAACACTCACTCTTTCTCTGAGTCAATAAATTGACAAGAAGAGAAATAAATTCCCAAGTCCTTAAACAACATCAGGAGTGCTGCAAGTGAAATATAACAGACTGAAGTGTCTGGAGGTCCAGCTTACAACCACCAACATAATATTGATGAAAGTGAAATAATATTTAGACCTCAGCTATAACAATTGCTCTAGCAACAGTTTGAGTGACTAAGGGATTGCACTTTGGCATTAGAGATCTACTCAGAGTATAAATGGATCCTGATGCAAATCACACATGGTAACTGATCTCCAACATCTAAATGCAATCCCTTTAGTCCCTCAAACCATTGCCCTCTTCACATGGTGTACAAGAGCCTCTCAACCTCAAGGCCAGGCATTAGTTCACATATTTTGTTTGTATGTTGAAATGCTAAGAGACACATTTTCCTACAACATAAAAGAAAAATATCATTAAATGGAAGCATAGCCTTTAAAGGTCAAAAGGCTTGCATCCTCCACATTCCACTGAAATACTGTTTCTCTGGAAAAGGAAAAATAAGATCTCAACCTCAACTCTTAACACACATCCCTGTAGTCAGCTGAAGAATGCAAATTATTTCCTTTGAGGTTATTTGGTAAGAGGAGGATGCAGAGGTCACAGTTGGTTGACTCAGGTTTGTGTAAATGCATTTGTAAGAATTTACTGCTGTTGAGCTTAGAGTCCTGAGAGTCCTCAGCGAGTAACCATGAGGAAACAGGCAGAGTAGGTGTTCAGAGCTTACTCTGTGGATATACCCCTCGCCTGGGAAACCCTTCTCCTATGGGCTATTCCACTGAAGTCAGTGACACTGTTCACTTCCAAGCAGTTTTGGAGAACTAGACCTTTACACAGTGAGAATTCCACTGAAGTTTGGAAAAAAATCTTTTGTAGCTCACTACGTACAGTTTTACCTAAGTCACATACAAATACAGCTATATGAGCACCATAGATTTTATTCTCATATAGTCTAATATTTGTTAACATGCTTTATAACAGGTTCCTCCACTTTGCCTCAATAAATGTTTATAGGAAAATTCTGTTCACATTTTGCCAAGAAGGCTGAATTAGGCAGCAGCAATACAGAACTGCCTAATAATTCTGTTGCCATATTACTGGAGAATGTTGTTAGGATTAATTTCCAAAGTGTTTCACGTGTAAAAGCCACTGTATCTCAGTTAAATATATCTATAAAAGCTCTTCCTTACTACAGGGATTCATGCCATAACAGTGATATACACAAAATCTGATGGATCTAGAAAGAATACATTGCATGAAGTCATTGTACATTTGATTTATTCATACTACAGCCTATTAAACAGTAGGGGTTCTCATTTTGCTTCAGTACCACTGAAGTATATTACTTTTATTAAAATGAAGCATACTTCGCAGAACAAACGTATAATCTATATCTCGGAGAAGCTACATTCAAAGAATACTGGTCACCTTACTTCAGATCTACAGGACAGACACTTCCATTTAAAAGGTGCTATGCTGTACTACAAGTGTGTCTACATACAGTCAAAACGATTATAATGCTGAACTTGTGACTTCAGGAAATTTCTAATGCAACATTTGGCATTATCTGTCAAACTCCCGATAAAAGACTAGACTTTGTCAGCCAATTCTGTATAAAATTCCCCAATTATCACACTCCTGATAGAAAACATGTTTTTTTCCTTCCCCCCCAACTTAAAGGTAAATCTGAACATCTTAGAAATAGATACTAAACACAGGGAAAGGAAGGAGTACAATAGGTGAAGAAAAGGAAAACCGGGTATTAAAATCAAGGTAATTTTTTAGATTGAACACCAATTATTATGTTCATATTCCACGCAACTTTAATTAAAACATGATCCTGGCACTTGGCTTGAAGCAACAATTTCCTGTTTGATCTCCTTGACTAAAAAACCAAAACCAAGTGGAGTGAACCTCACCATTATTTGCATTCAACTCTAACAAGAAGCCTGCATATTAACACAACGTATGGCAGGTTGTCAGCCCATTCGCTAGGCTGCAAATCTAAGAAGTCATTTGCATCACTTGGTAAACATAGGGGTTTAGTATACTTGCCAATCCTACCACACTATCTCCAAAAAAACCAAACAAAACCCCCAAAACAAACCCCAACGAAACAAACACAGAAAGACCCTCCAAAAATAAACAAAAAAATCCTGGCAGAAGTAGCTTATATCCAAGAGGTTTTTAAACAGGACAATCTAATGCACGGGAAGCGAGTTATCTAAGGCATGCTGCACTCCGTGCCGCACCCTGGTTACTCCCGAAATGCCAGGAACAGCCGCAGCAGGCCAGCGGATGCAGTGGCACAGGGATATGCGTAAGATTTCTTTTGCGTAGAAGCAGCCATTGGTTTGCATCTGCGTGTCTCAAACACTCTCTTACACTAATAATGACTTTGAAAGAGGAGATAACATTCAATTTAAGGGGTGGTTTCACCTTCCTCAAGTATCAAAAGCTACTACGGGAAGATAGGACGCATTCAGCCAGCAAATTCCTAACATGCTAATAAAAACAAATCCTTAAGCTCCCTCACAGAAATATTATTCTTGAATGCTGGTGCCACATATGTTTAAAACCAAACCTATTTAATTCTTGGAATCAGTTACATATTGCTTGGACACCGTCGGTCAGATCTGCATCGCAGCTAACGAGCAATTTCAGGATAACGCCACAGACTTCCCTTTTCAGATAAATACTAAATATTAAAAATACAATGAACAGAGACAGTAGCAAATAAACCATCTCACCTGTCATCTTCACTGAAAAGTCCACAGTTCTGCAGTCTTGAAAGGGCTAAATGAAAAAATTGCTCTAGAAAGCAAATATAAAGAAGATTAATGAAAATGTTCAGTGCTTTCCAATACAAAAATCAGTATGCTATCCTGACTACAGCGTTTTCAGACACAGTAGTTTCTACATACTGTGCATAAAAAAACCTCAAAATAAGAACACTTGCAATTTAGGGCCACAGGTCAATCAATGATGTCAAAGAAATTCAGGTTTATCAGAGCTCCTCTCTGGGAAACTTTTCCTGCCCCAACACTCCCTTGTTGGAAAATAGCATGGGATTTGTATCAAAACAATCTTAGTTATAGTAAGTAAACGTAGAAAGAAATTCCAAGACCTGCATCCTAATTGACTTTGTTTTTTCTTCTGCCCATCTTCAGCCAAAACAGAAGCAGCCTTGACCCAAGAGGAGAAGCCACACAGCCAGGGATGTTAACAGCACTATGTATCTTGGGAGAAGACATCAAACCAGCCTGTGCTCACGGGCAGAGCTGGGCAGGGGCACCCTCCCAGCCCTCTCTCAGTGGGCAGCTGCCCGCTGGACACACGTTGAACAAGTCTGTGAGACGGGACCTTAACTCATTCCCAAACGTACTTTTCCTCACCGCATCCCCAGAGGTATGGGAAAACGCATCATCCTCGTTATGCTGATGGAGGGCAAACCGAGAGCCCAGATCCGCAGGGTACTAGGAAGGCGCACTTTCGGCATTAAAAATTGAGACTTGATACTTTACAACCCTTTCCAAAAGGATGACTAAGACCCTTAGGGTCTCTGGCCCTGTCTACTCTGCCCTGACCAATGCAGGCAGCAGGCATGAGCGGGCACACTTTGCATGGGTACAGCAGCCACGGAACAACAGGAATATCCCCTGCAGCCCCAGTGACACCTTCCTTGGTGGGAAAAGCTAGCCCAGGAAAAGGAAAATTTTGCTGGTGTAACTGCCCTAGACTGGGGACTTCTGCCTCAGTAGGACTCTGGATCCCATTCAGCTTCGGTGTGTTGACTGAACCCCATCACACTGACCCAGCTAATACTTCACCTAGCAAAGCACTAGGACTACCTTTAGCACCCCAGCCCACATACCAATAAAAGGAAGCTGAAAAAGCTCCACTGTTCCTCACTCCCACCTTTTTGGAGCTTCTCTGCTAAGAGAGGCAACCCCAACACAGTGTTTTGTTTGTGGAAAACAGGAAGGTGCCAGGTCAGAGAGACTAAATGAAACCATTAAGTCACTGCTAGATACCCCCAAAAGGATTGGCATCGGTGAATAGGAAAGACCAGGGCCAGAGATTCAGGTGGCTTGACATGCCGTTTAGGTATTTCTGCTTAAAAACAAGGTACATTGGGAACACAAACCTGCTCTCTTTATTCCATAAGGCAGTTCAAATTTATCGCTCCCATGGAACTCCGCCACGTTGATAAAATCATTAGCGCACAGGAATGGGTATATTTTGTCAACACTAACGAAGGGAAAAAGTAAGAAGTTTCAAAAATCCACATGATGTATTTGAATAAGACAATAATTCATGCAATTGCTTTTTAAAAAAAAACTTTATCCTACTTCAAGTATTATCAATTTTTAAAAGAAGAAAACTCGTGAACACATGGAAAGAAAGCAGGTGACAAAAGAGGAGGATTTTGTAATGGAAAACATAGGTAGAGAGTGAGACAAAATGATTTATCTGCTAGTATAAGTTACACAGAGTCATTAAAATCACATGGCTGAAAGCTTACACCATAAGTCAGTATATTTAAGAGAATACGTAACCCAGGAAGACAAAGAGTAACTTCAAGTTTCCAGAGTACATAACAGAAGCAGGGAGGAAAATTAAGAGTTGTTATTATGTATGACAATTTAATAAATAAGAATGGGATTTGAAACAAGGCGTTTTAACTTGAAAACACCATCTCCTGAAGATGTCAACTTAGCTGAGATGTGCTCCCATTCCAAAAGAGGTGCTTTATGGCTGTTTCGACATCAGTAAGTCTTTTGGGGCAACAGGGGTATATCCATACAGCAAATGAGTATGGAGTTCTCATGTTCACATTACACACATCGCAGGTTTTTCTGAACTCTAGACTAACTCCAGTAGGGTCCCACAGAGTGAACACCCCCTAGCAGCTGCAGCATATTGGGCGTGCTCCTGGAGTGCATCTTCTGGCTTAGCCAGAAGTCAGATGTCTGAAAAGAGTCCAGTGCACATGTGCCAGGGCCACCCCGCGATGAGAAGCACAGCATGTGGGGATCACAAGGAGGTTTGCCTCAAGCGTGCATTCCTCCTGCAAACTAGAGCGTGACAGCATCACACCTTATAAGCCTCAAGACAGAAAGAATGAGTCACTTCTTTGAAGAAAGACAGTAACCACAGACAAGAGTTCTCTCATAGCAGGGAAGGGACTCTTATTTGCAGAGTCCATATCTGCCAAGCCAAGCCAAATGAATGAACCGTAGACCCAATCCTGACACATGCTATCACGCCCTTGGCTTCACCTTGGAGTTAAGTCCACATGCACTCACTGAACTGGTTGACTTTGTAGTGATCCTGCATACTAGGTCTTCTATTATAACCTTAACCCAGAAGTATACCGTCACAGTGAGAGAACCTAGTGTTGATCATAAATACCCACAGTCAGCACATGACTCGTTTCTCCATTAAGAATATTAATAGCTGTTAAAAAACACCCCATCCCTCAGTTTCACAAATCAAGTATCTCACTCTAGGCTCTACATATTCAGAAGATACTAACAGTAAAAAGGAAAAAAATACCAAAACAAAACCAAACCAAACAACAAGAACACCAGAGACCACATATCAAGAACTGGGCCATAGGTTAACTAGGCAAGACCAGCTAACCCTGAAAAGTCATGCACTAAACACCCATATTAAATTTAACACTTGCCTTGCTGTTCGAAAGCAGCTGGTAAGATTAGACATAATAAATAATTTACCTACTGCAAAGAGATTCTTAATTTAGCTCTTCTAGCTCTGGTTCCTTTCCAATAAATAATTCTGCCAGGTTAGAAATCCCTTCAACCTCCCCAGGCTATTACTGAAGTGCACAGACCAGATCTTCAGCTCGCACACGCTATCTCTGTAAAGGTGCTACGGAAACACGCAAGAGACGCTTCTAGCTCTGCACCTCCGTTCTTCTCACTGCACATCTCCGGGCCCGTTCCCGTCCCCTCGCTCAGCACCAGGGCCGTCCTGCTGTGCCCGACAGAGAAGCCTGGGCACACTCTGTGGGCAAGGCACCTAGGACCACATCTAGAGAAGCCTGGGCACACTCTGTGCGCAAGGCACCTAGGACCACGTCTAGAGAAGCCTGGGCACACTCTGTGGGAAAGGCACCTAGGACCACGTCTCTGGGCCAGGCAGCTAACCAAAACTCAGAGACTACAGGAGTGCTCCAGGGAGGCCAAACTTCAGATCCTGCCACATTCTTTAAAATAATAATAGCACTGAATTAACACCATGTTTTCTTGCACACAAAAAGGACCAAAAAAAAAGCAATGGTATCTCTGCTTAGAGCTTTAAGACTGCTTCAGCCAGGACTTGGTTTAAACACCTTTCTGAGCTTTCTCAGGGCCATCTTCAATGTTCGCTCAGGTGAAACACAAAGCCAATGACATAGCCTGTCTGCTTCTGGTCCTGTAGCACTTCCTTGACCTCTAGCATTTAAGACTTGTGCTGCTAACAACAAAAACTCCCAATATTTCCTCACAAACATCTTGGATGCACTTTTGTGACCAGACACCTCTCTTGTTTTGAGTTGAAGTTCTTCCTTTTTTCATTCAACTGCTTCTTTACAAAGGAAGCCTGAGTACCTTAAAGTGGAGGTACCTACACAAAATTCAACAATACTATCAGAGGAACAAAACTACAAATAATCCCAAATTTCATTGAAATTAAACTCCATTGAAATAAAAATTCCATTGAAGGGCAAGAATCATATATTGTTACAGATTTGATGAATTTTTGCACATTTCATACTCCTCTTTCCAAATAAAATGAAGGTATATTCAAAACTTCTCTGGTCCCTGGCTGCTACAGAAATATTTAGCTACCAAAAAAATCTTAATCTTTTAAATCCAGGTTCTTAATAGCAGAATGACTGAGTTTCAGTCTTGGACATGAAAGCTTCTTTTACAGGAAATGCACAGGGAAAAAAAAAGGCTTGTATTTCAGTCATTAAAATATTTTCACTGTTACTAGCCACCGTATCTGAAGAGGAAGTATTTATTTATTCAGTACATACACAGCACGTTGAGCTAGTTGTGTGGTATTGCTCAGATGCTGATCAGTGGCAAGCTAAACCATCTGTGTCGCCCTAACCAGGAAAAGCAGCAATGAACCCAAGCCCAAAATCTGTACTTCCAGAAGTGAATCAAAACATTAAGTAGTCCAGAATATGTAAATAGCCCATTTCTACCTCCATCAGCACAGCCTTTCCTTCCCCCCACTTCCCACAGAAGACTCACCCCAGTAAAGATTCAAATGCTGGTTTCAGGAGACAAGTGTCCAGCCCATTCCTTCTCTCCACAGCTGTAGGTGGCAGCCTGCAAAAGAAGAATTTCAAAGAAATAACAAGAATGGGTAGCAGCAACAAGGTAGGGACACTTGGACAAGCTAAATTAGTAAAAGCTAATTACTGAGTTAACGCCACACCAAGTTTTCATGATTGCCTCTGTCTGTATCAAAGATGGATCTTTTGCACTGCAGTGTGATTAACCATTAATGCTTTAATCTCACAGTGCTGCTCCAAGGAGTCTGCAACCTCCCTTGCTCGGCAGCTATCAAAGCAGCCATAACCAGAGGTGAGATCTCAGGCCCACCTGCAGAGAAGCAGGACACCTGGGCTGAATCACCCCTGCAGCCACATCAGACAGCATCACCAGCACTACTCAAAGAGGAGAGGGGAACAGACAGCACCACACAAGGTACTTTAAGGAAAATGAGATTCTTTGGGGATAAGTCATTCCTCTCATAACAAGGCTAAGACACTTCTAAGCCCATTCCCACCTTGGCAATTTAGCCCAATTAATAACCAGTACGAAGCCCAGAAGTGAGGGTAAAGTTCAGCATGAGCAATGCATGCATCTGGGCTGCATTAAGAACAGAAGGATGAAACCACCACTTTAGAACCACAAGCCAAACAGATCATTAAGGTTAATTGCTTTTGGCAACCTCAAGTTGTCATGTGAATACTGACACTGATAAAGCACCCTGTGAAACCTATCAGCTGGCCAGTTCACTGCTTTCCAGCATCAGCCTCACAGACAGCACTTTGCAGTACAGCTTCAGAGAGAACAGAGATCTGCTTTGAAGTTTTGGCGCAGGCACTTATTAGTCCCACAAACCTAATTACAGGAATTTACTAGCACAAGATCTGCTTATACACACACTTGCACATCACAAATGAACCACACCTCTGATATATTAAATTTTAAGCACAAAAGTGGCCCTCCTATCTCTGCTAATTTTATTCAAGTATAACTCAGAATTGCAGAAATTTGGAAGTTGTCAACAAATGTCCTTCCAACAAGTCATTGCTTGTTACAGTCACTGCAAGCGGCCATAAATATTAACAGAACACTGGAAACATGACACAGACAAATTTCTTTCTGCCAGACTTGTTACAATTGTGTTCATAACAGAAACAGCCAACGAACACAGCTGTACAAAAACCAATTGAACAGGGAGCCTAGGGACAAAGGATACAGATTTTAGTCTCAATCCCTCCCACCTGCCCAAAAACCAACCAACCAAAAAAAAAAGCCCATAACAAAAAGACTCAACTGCTGAACTTACTGGGTAACTCCACTAGTCTCATAGGAAGGAGGAGCCCTCACAGAGGAAGTCTGTCCATAAAAGCTAATCCTGCAAAAAGGGAAATGTCACAACACTGTGGTTTGCTTAAACAGAAACCACAACAAAAAGCCATTCGTATCAATTGTATGCTATAAACAAGAACAATAGAGGCACATCAATCACTGCTATGAAAAGCTATCACTATTATCTTCATACCACTAAACACACTGGTCAATCTTGGTTACAGTATGCCAAGGCCAATGGAAACTCGACTTCTTCGATAAGCACCCTGAACTTCAGGTCCCAAGTCACCTGTCCCGTGCAGCCTGGAGACAGCGAGGGCTCACGTTCCACAAGGCTGCCACTGGGACTTGACAAATTGCAGCTTTTCAAAAGGTGCCCACTACACCTGCGGTTATTCCCACCTGTGGAGGTCTCTCCCACGTCATTTATCAGACATCTAAAGGAACAAGCTAACGCTAAACACAGGAGGGGGTTAGGGAAGATACGGACATGACGCACACAAATAAGATATCTCTCCTCACCTGAACACCTATTTTAATGAAACTCAGAGGGGCTCCCTATCTCTGAGGTCCTCACCTCTCCATACAATGAGGCTCAAAACTACTAGGTTTAAAAGCGACAGGAGAGAAGGGGCAACAGGACAGAACTATCACATTTATTCCCTCAGGATACAAAAAAAACCCAATGAAACAACCACAAAAACAAACACATACACAGAGTAGTAATCACTTCTGTTAATTACTAGTAAGCAGCTATTCAGCAACACAGCAACTCACAACCACATTTCTCACACAGTCGTGAGGGTGTCTGCATTATAAGGGAACAAAGCATCACCATACCAGTAGAGGTTATTTCTCCACAGATTTCCATGCAGTATACCATACATAACAGCAGCAGCCAGGATAAAAAACAGAAGAATTCGTCTCATGACTGGTAGACCTGAAATGTAAGAAAAACAAAACAAGAAACTTAAATCCAAGTTAGGCTATTAAAATAAACTTTTATGAAGCAACATGAAACCTACAAAAGGAAATCATCATTATTACAGCCATTCTCCACCACCACAAATATGACAGAGGGTCACTCCAGTCTGATTTCTCACACAAAGTCCCAGTGACAGGAGCTGAACGCTGCTCTGCACCTACCACACGTGCATACTCTGCGCAGTGACACAGAAGCACTGAGAGGGGCTCACTCTAGGTTCCCTCTGAAGACAGAGGGAAAATGGGCTCTTCCAGAAGCAGGTCAGAGTAGGAGCTCCTTTCAGTCCACCGGCAGCCCACAGAAACTAGCCTCCTGGGTCAGAAGCTGGCCTTCACACGCACCTGCCCTTCTCTTTCTTGTGCCACCCACTATCAGTTTCCATAATTACACAGTTAAACAAGCACTGGCACTTTGCAGGAGGCAGATAGGCTGATGTTGATGAAGCAGACGACGGTATGAGCTGCCACAAATTGCTACTGGCTCTTTTAGGATGCCTAAATGTTCTTAAAGTCTAGTTTTGGACATTTAAAGCTGCACTGAAGCTGGCTGTTTATGGCCTCGTGTCCTGTACAGTCTCCAGCTCTTGACACAGACCAGACTTCATTGCTCAAGCGACAGAAAAATGCTATTTTCACACATCACAAAGTGAGGAAGAGAAGTTAAGACCCAATCTGTAGAACTTACTAAGTTAAGGAGAAATAGCAGAGAAAGTGTTCATTTTTCAAATAGAGTTTTCACCTCATTGCGCAGTCTAGTAAAAGAAAACTAGAGAACTATCAGAAGCTCATGTGTGTGGCAAGACATGCTGTAGGAAAAGCAAGTTCTGTATTGCTCATGTCTAACACTGAGCTGCCCTTTCACTAGCTATGAATGAGCTGCTGCTGCTTAATCTTCTGAAAGTCCAAAATAGCCATTCTGGCCACAAATCACTGGAAATTTACTCGAGAGCTATATCCTTCTATTATTTTCACCTCTCCCCGTATCATGGTAAGCAGGTTCAATGCACACATGCATAAACACCTACTTGGATATTTGTATTTTAAAGTGAAGGTAACAAAAAGCTGTCTAGCAAAACCAAGCCATATCCAAATATACTGCTGCAATTTCCACAAGCATAGCCTTTGGCTTTACGGTTGTTTTTGTTGTGGGGTTTTTTTTCCTTTAAATTTTTTTTTTTTTTAGTTTTCTTTCTTAAAATTCCATGTTGCTTTTTAGAATATATAAAGTTGCTATTATTTTAAACCTGCGTTAAGCAGCACTAAAGCAATAAAATCCAAGGTAGATATAGTTCAATTGATTTACAGCAATATGCTTTACACTAGTAACATCTTAACATCATACCTGGTATTAGCAGTTAAGAAACCACCAGAGAGAGTTGCATTTTGTTATTAGAAATCAAGAAGCAAACTACTGCTGCTCACACAGCTTCATCCCCAAAAGAAACACCTAGCAGTGAACTATGTGACAACAACTTGAGCGCAACAAACTGCCGCTTCTTCCTCCTGCCCCATACGCTTCACGGGAATTTAATTGTAGGGTCAGAGATGGGGTTTTGTAACAGCACTGATCAGTACCAAAGCCATGCAATGAACAAGCTGTAATCTATCAATGGTAAATATATCCTTCAGGCTGTCCTGCTGTGTTCTGGATTAAATGCTCATAGGTTGCAGCTGTTGCAATTTCAACCTCTCATCCCTCATCAGGAAGTAACACTGCCTCCCTCACAGCTCCAACCCCCTGGACTCTTCAAGAGCCACCGCATTTTTATTTTTTTTTTTTTTTTTACATTCATTCTCAACTTCTAGAGCAAACTCCTGAGTTTTGGTAATAATTTTTTAAGAGTTTCTCCCTAAAACGGCGAGAATATTACAAGAAAATTCACCTACTGGGTTTAGTCAAGCGTCATTAACAGCAATTGGCTTATTTACTTGAAAAAGATACTGCGCTGTTCATGTTTTTTTTCCTTTCATTGTCAGTACTTTTACCCCTTCCTGCTTTGCAAGAGTTTCCTAAAATATCCCACTAAAGTGGAAGTCAACTGTTTACTTTTTTTACTCTCTAATTTAATCAACGCAAACTTCAGTTAAACAACAGAACATAATGAACCAGCTCTTCAGATAAAGTTTCTAAATTAACAACTGATTAAATCGCTGATTCTGCTGACTTCAGTGTAAAATAGAACTCTGCTGAAGAATCAGGCTAAGCTACAAAACAGAGAAAAAGACAAGGCAAAGCTGCCCACAAAGGGTCTTTTTAAAACAAAAATATTATTCATAACAGTATTATTCACAGAGGGGAAAACTAGTGTTCTGTTTGTAAAGTATTTATAAAGATATTAGTACAGTCTGAAAAAAAAAATCACTAAAACAGAAGAATATAAGTCAACATCAAGTGTACAGAATCTGTAGCAACTTTCAGTATCTTATGTAGGACATTCAGCCTGGCACACACATGAGAATGTAGCATCATTAAGGGTGTACTTAGCTCTCAGGAACACAAAATGGTCTTTAATTATATAAGTGTCTTATCACCATTCCATCCCAGGCTTCATTCAGTGCTTTGAAGAGAAAGTTCTGTGGTCAAGAAAGACAGTGATTTTAGTTAAGACTTTCATAACCTGGTTTAGTAAACAGAACCATTGCCTTGTTTATGGTAGAAATTATTCTGGGTGTATTTTTAACAGCGACAGCATTTTCCAGCTCTCCCTATTTTAAAACAGCTGGGCGTTATAGAAAGTTAATCAAAGGAAAACAGACTCCTACAGTGCAAATTCTGCACTAGAAAATTCCCAAAGTCAGAGATGCAAGAAAATAGGCAATTGAGAAGACACGGTCATGTTGCAGCTTATTTATCACAACACAAGACCCGGCATCTTGATTTAAGCTCATCAAGCAGATTGACAGAGGTCATGGCGCCCTCAGGTCAAGGTCAGTCAGGGCTAAGCAAAACAAGGACAAAAGCTGGAACTCTACTATTTAATTCCCTTCCTCTTTCTAAAAAGCCTACAGTGACACACACACGAAAGGGGAGAGGAACCCAGCAGGCCAATGCCTGACATTCACAGAGTTAGCTGCTCAATTTTCTGAATGCAAGGCAGCAATGCGATGTGTAAGTGTTGTAAAAAGACTCACGAGTATTTCTTAATAGGAATCTAAGCTAACTTCTACTGTCCAACTTCCCACCCCTTCCAAGGCAGAGCTATAACTACAGAATTGGACGAGAGAGACTGTTACGGTATTAAGTGATCTGAGATCAGCCTGCAACTCTTATGGACAGATGGGTTCACCCTAGCTCCCACAAACCCACCAGAGAGACCCATTTGGGTATACAAATTAGCCATATAGGGCCAGAGGCTAATTTTTAATTCCCTTGTGGGAGGCGGGGAACCAACATCCTTGTCAGAGCTGCATCTTCGATACAGTCTCTCACAGCGTTCTGGTTGAGAAACTGGTAACTGCTG